AGCTCTATCTACAATAGCCCGGAGATGGAAACAACCTAAGTGTCCATCATCGGATGAATGGATAAAGAAGATGTGGCACATATATACAATGGAATATTACTCAGCCATAAAAAGAGATGAAATTGAGCTATTTGTAATGAGGTGGATAGACCTAGAGTCTGTCATACAGAGTGAAGTAAGTCAGAAAGAGAGAGACAAATACCGTATGCTAACACATATATATGGAATTTAAGGGAAAAAATGTCATGAAGAACCTAGGGGTAAAACAGGAATAAAGACACAGACCTACTAGAGAATGGACTTGAGCATATGGGGAGGGGGAAGGGTGAGCTGTGACAAAGCAAGAGAGAGACATGTACATATATACACTACCAAACGTAAGGTAGATAGCTAGTGGGAAGCAGCCGCATAGCACAGGGAGATCAGCTCGGTGCTTTGTGACCGCCTGGAGGGGTGGGATAGGGAGGGTGGGAGGGAGGGAGAGGCAAGAGGGAAGAGATATGGGAACATATGTATATGTATAACTGATTCATTTTGTTGTAAAGCAGAAACTAACACACCATTGTAAAGCAATTATACTCCAATAAAGATTAAAAAAAAAAAAGAAGACAATGGGCATGTGAAAAGATGCTCAATATCGCTAATTATCAGAGAAATGCAAATCAAAACTACAGTGAGGTATCATGTCACATCAGTCAGAATGGCCATTATTAAAATGTCTACAAACAAATGCTGGCTAAGGTGTGGAGAAAAGGGAATCCTCCTACACTGTTGGTGGGAATGTAAATTGGTGCAGCCACTATGGAAAACAGTATGGAGTTTCCTTAAAAAACTAAAAATAGAGGCACCATATGATCCAGCAATCTCACTCCTGGGCATAAATCCAGAAAAGAGGAAAGCTCTAATTTGAAGAGATACATGCACCTCAATGTTTGTAGTGGCACTATTTACAACAGCCAAGACATGGAAGCAACCTAAATATCCATCAACAGATGAATGCATAAAGAAGATGTGATATAGATAGATAGATAGATAGATAGATAGATATACACACACACATATATACACATATAGTGAAATAGGAATAATACTTAGCCATAATAAAGAATGAAATAAAGAGATTGTCATACTAAATGGAGTAAGTCACACAGAGAAAGACAAATATTATATGCTTTCACTGATAAGTGGGATCTAAAAAATAGTATAAATGAACTTTACAAAACAGAAATATTCAAAAAAATAATATTTGATAGACCCTTAGTTAGGAGATAATAGATTCAAGCATTTTATAGCTATAAACCAAGTCAATTGGTTACACACACACACACACACACACACACACACACACCTTCCTCCCTTGAGAATTCCTAAGTGTCTAGAACATAGCTGGTGCTGAAAAAAATGTTATTTGAATAGATGAGTAAATAAATAAATATGCAAAATGAAGTGGTTCTGTTCATAAGAAGGGAAGCTTTTCCTTATCTATGTAAACTTTCAATGGATTCTTGAGTGTGTATAAGAAAACTACATTTATATATTCAAAATACATTAGTCGTTATTATACAGAACTTTTTGAAAAAATGTTAATTAAAATCTGAATAATATTATTCTCGCATAGTTTAAGCTTAAAATGTATATAAAGGAATATGTTGCAAATCATTCCTTCTCCATATTCATCCAGCTTCTACTATTTTTGCCAATAGGTTAGCAACTATTATTAAATTCTTGTGTCTCCTCATATAGAACTTTTTTTGTATATATAACTGAATATGAATATATGTTTCTCTTTCCCATTACAGAAGTAGAGGCATAGGGTACACACTGTCCTCCAATGTGATTTTTCCCTATGTTGAAGATATTTATGTTAGTTGAAGAGCTGACTGGCTTGCCATATTTGTAATATACAGCTCTAAAGTGAAAACTAATTTTTTGCACAGAATAAAGACATGCCTTTATTGTTTTCTTTTCATTCAACCTGAAATTTTAAAAAAAACTGCTAATTCCTGATAAAAATATTAACCCCTCTTGCATAGAAATAATTTATTGGTAATAAAATTATAAATACATGATACGTGCCTCTTGTTTCAACCATTTAGGATTTTTAACAATAAATTTAAAATATTTCTGGTTTATTTTACATATGAAATTGTGCTACACACTGAATAATTTTTGCCTACAGAAAGTAGTTAATGTCAACAAATATAACCAAGCATATCAAAAGGTACATCATTGCACTGTTCTTTTTTTCTTCTGGGAGATTTGTACTAACATACATTCTTTCACTTGGCCTTATATGCAAATATGCTAAGTTATTTATTCAACAAGTATTTAGTGAGGGCATATGACTACATTACTTTCTTTCCTTTCTCCTTCTTTCTAGAACATTCTATAATTTCTGTGTGAAATTACTTAAAATTAAAGATGTGTGAGTAGGCAAAGACAGTTCCTTAAGCAAATTTCAACTCACATTATTTTTTTCATTTTTATTAATCTGAGAATATAAAATTGTTTAATAATTTTTCAAAAGCTTAAGAGAAGTTTTAATTAAATACTACTTTAACCATAAAGATGATGCTAGTGTATATTGAGAACTTTGGTCCCGTAGTCAAGAAATTTAGGTTTCATCACTATCTTTGCAACAAAAAAGTCATAAACAGTATCTAGAACAGTGTGTGGCTCAGTGTTCCAGTTAAAGAGAAACGTCATTCGACTAGAATAATTTAATAATACATTTTATTATCTGCATACTTCCTTTCATATCCAGAATACTGAAATGAAAATGTCTATGCTGTGGTAGGCAGAATAAAGGCATCCCTAAAGATGGCTGCTTCCTAATATCCTGACCTGAGAATGCTACCTACATGGCAAAAAGGACTTTGCAGATGTAATTAAGATTATAAACCTTGAGATGGGAAGCTTATCCTGGATTGCTCACGTGGGCTAAATCTAAACCAAGGAATGCCCGTGACTGCTAGAATCTGGAAAAGGCAAGGAAATGGACCACCCTTAGAGGCTCCAGAAAGGAACAGAGCCCTGCCAATACCTTGATTTTAGTCCAATAAGACCTATGTTGGACTTCTAACCTACAGAAATATGAGGTGATAAACTTGTGTTATTTTAAGACACTACATTTGTGGTAATTTTTACAGCAGAAATAAAAAATTAATACTTCAAGCACATGGGAGAGTTGAAAATAAAATTGAAGAATTCATTAATATTTACCATAAAAAACCAGTTTATGTTCTATTAGCAGTCAAAAATTGAAGCTTCCACAAGGGATTCTTACTGTTTTTTAAGGACCAGTATGGAATACAAAAACTTATGAATGTAAAAAAATAATCCACTGTCAATCACCTATAAAATTATGTAAATTTTTAGACTTCATTTAGGGGTTACTTACCTGAACCCAAATATATGAACAAAATAGTTTTTTATGGTAACGTTTGTTGCAACCCTAGCACTTACAGTACATCAAACACAGAGTAGGCAATCAGCAAATATTTGTTGAATGAATAAAAGAAGGACTAATATAAGATTGGCGAATCAAGAGAAATAACCTAATAATTAATTATTATCTGCATTTGTAGAATTCTACAGAAGGTGTCATATATTTAAAACAGTAAAATTCACTCTTCACCACTTTTATCCCTGTAGTAATATAAGTAATAAAGTGAAAAAAAAATGAAATCAAAAGAGCCCCAATGTGCCTTTGAAATATAATCCAGTTTGTTCCCTAATAGATTGTCACAGTGGAGACCATGAAATAAAAACCCAATAATGAAAATTTAATAACCTAAATACTGGTTGTACTTAGTAAAACATTAATAAGGGGAAAATACAAAAGGAGCTATTTTGAATTTTAAAAAGTTTTCTTATTTTTTAAATAAGCCCTGTCACTGTCCAAAATTTCAACATTTCTAGTTTATAATTTGTGGTAAAACTTAGACAAAAGATGTTAAGACAACCTGGTAGTAAAAAATTAAATGCCTTCATTTAAAAACTAATAAATGAAAAAAATTTAGCAATCTAACCTCCAAAGAGACCAGTTCCCTAATTGTGTTTCTCCAATTCTATTCTGGACAAATAATCTTGAATAAAAAAGAGATTTATGTATAGAGAATACAACAAATTTTTAGTCTAACAAAATTTATGCCTAATTCAAATGTCCAGCAATAAAAGAATGGTTAGGAAAATGGATCATATATTTAAACATCATGTACTAAAACATATATAGCACAAAAAAAGTGAGTGTGAAAAAAATTTAAACTTGGTTTGATCTTAATTATTTTAAAACATTCATAGAAAAAAAAGTAGAAAGAAATATGCTAAGTTTTTACATATAATTCATGGCATTATGGATTATTTAATTTTATGTTTTTTACCCTGTTTCTAAAATTTTCAATATTAAATTATTTTATAATCAGAAAAAACATTTTGTAATGAAAAGGAAAAGTTCTAATGTAAACAATTACTTCTTGATCATTCAGCATTTCAAATGCTATAATCTTATCAATTCCACAAAATCTCCTGAAGGAATGGGCTGTTTTAGACCAAATCAAGGAGTTTCCAGTGGCATCAAAGTATGTTTTAGGTTTAATCTGAGGAACAAAATCATCTTAAATAATGAAAGTCAATAATAACTATGAGGAAACTGAGTGTTGATAATAGGTTACAGATAAATATTTTACAAGAGAAAAAGCCTACTATTTTTGGCAAATTACCAGAAATGTCCAATACAGTGAAGTAATGAATTTCCCCAAACAGGAAGTGTAGAAACAAAGGTTAGATGTTGAAGGAAAAGATTATTTTATTTATACAATCACTAATGTTACCTAGTGTTAAGTGTCTGAATTATTATGTATGTATGTAATCACATACTCTGTTTGCAGGTCTTTAGGACATAAATTCCCTAATTTGTAGAACTAATGTGGGTAAAAATTAGTTTTATATATCACTGCAGGTCAAATAAAAAGGAATACATTGGTGGAATTATAACTTACTGTGGTAGCACAATGAATATCTTTCCATACTGTGGCTTCCCTGGAGAGATCAGAGGCTTCAAACAAATTATCAAAAATCACTTCCCCAATCATGTCATGTCTAGAAAATCTGTCAAAATCATACACACCGAAATGTAGTTTTCGGTTGCTTAGTTGATCATATGCTACAGGAAACTGAAAAGTTTCATCAAACACAGGATTTAAAGTTTTTCTGTGCACACGGGTCTGAAATTTCTTTTTCCTATCTGGAAGAAGATACATCTTCACGTAAGGGTCAGAAGTTCCTGTGAAGTCTTTAGCAGGGAGATCTAAGGCTTTGATAATTTTAACAACTAGAAGTTCATTTTCATAATCATACTGGAGGGTGAAGTTAAGCTTCCCACAGGTTTTGACATCTTCTTTCTTGTTGCCCTCAGAGTCAACTGATTTCTGTTTGTAGAGCTCTGGTTTTATTCTCCCAATGCTGGTTGTTGTTTCTCCTCTTTGTAAAATGGGTTCTGTGCCCATGCCAAAATCAACACTGGAAATCTGCATTTGCCTTGGTAGGTGTCTTCTGAAGGAATTATGTCTGTACACACACACATACACACAAAATCGTTTAAGTAGATCATTTTGATGATAATGCTATATACAGTGGCATATAAACTCTACCCCACACCCAGGATAATGGGAGCATTATATCTACAGCAATAAACAGATGGATACACACACACACACACACACACACAAACACACACACGAGTTACTTTTGAAAAACCAGGAATGCAATATTCAAAGAAAAACTCTCCTAGAATTATAGAAACACCTAAAACACACATATGTACATTTTTATGAGCTTTTGGTATCTTTATGTACCATAATAAGCACAAAACTTTTAAACACAATTGTAAAGAAAGATGATTACCAAAAAAGTTCAATATTCTACAAAATGTTACCTGGGTGTATCTAGATGTAAACATTATGTAAACAGATCATTCAGATGGCTGATTTCTTTTCATCTGGATATTTTGGTCTTATGAATTTCCCATTTTAGTGATGACAATATTAAAAAACATAAGTCCACATATTCTTATGCTGTGTTATTTCTAATACTTAAGATAACTAGATGAATGTGTATTTTTCAAAAGAATATATAGTTATGACAGAAAAAAATGAGCACATTTTCCTTTTTTCAACATGGAGTGGGCTTCAGAAACTCTTAAGGATTAAAAGACTGTAGAATTTTAGAGTTTGGGGCTAAATAATAGTCCTTAAAATTCAAACTGAATTTCCTATACTCACTGTTACTATTTATCTCTCCAACATTTCCAGAACATTAGGTATATCAGCTTACTAATGGCTCATAAATGTGACTTGCATTAAGATCTGCTTCTCATAGTTTCTCCATGATTTCTAGCGTGAGCTATGTCAACTTATGTGTTTCCTCAAGGTCTGGTTCCAGGTCTTTTGTTCTTTTCTCTTCTCAATCACTCCATCAGACTAATAATCAGTTTTGGGGCTATAATTACTACCTTTAATCTGGTGATTCCCTAGATATATCTCAGATAGACAAAATCCTAGTTCCATATCTCTTTGTCTTGAAGGGGGATTTCTAAACAAATGTCCTAATTTTGCCCCAAACTCAAGCAAACTAATTATTTTCTCTATTTTGCTTTCAAACCAGTTCACTCTTCCACAATCTCTGACAATAGCTCTAACATTTTTGTCAGTCACTTATGCTTGGAATCCTGCATTATGCTTGTTTGAATCACTTTTCCTTTATTTCATGGGATTTGCTTAATTTTCTAAGTCCTGTTGATTTTTTGCTTTGAGACATCTCATATAATTGTCCATTCTACTCTATTTCCATTGCTATTTGGTCCATATCCTCATCATCTCATACTTTGCTTTCTACAGTAGCCTTCAGCTTGGCTTTCCTTCTTTCATCTCTCTCTTAAATTCAATGTCTCTCCAGCACTTACTTCAAAATCCTTTATGCTTGTTGTTATACCTTTTTCCACTTGATCATAATTGAAAAATTATCTCTATATAAAGAAACAAACTAGGATAACTTTATCTCAGATGAGGGAATAAGCTCCTAATTAAAACTATACTGAATTTAAGACCCAATATTTTAGTTTCAGTACCTAAGTGAGTATATATGTAAAAGTCTTTACTAAGTTACTTAAAGCTTGAAGTGATCTGTTTTCCCAGATTGATCCTCAGATTGATCCCATTTTAATGCATTGAACATGCTATGAAATGTATTTTGATACTGAATCTATTCCAGATATACAAGATCAGAGGCTTAAATTAGGGTCAGGGAACCATCAGGAAGCATTTAAGAAATAATAAGTATTTAGAAAGGAATACAGGTAGTATGTGTCATTGTGAATTATTAAAGAGGTCTAGTATAATCCAGTTAATACATTCAATATTCTTGAGAGATTTAGAATATTTTACTAAACAATCTAATATTTCTGCCAAAATCACTTTCACTTATGCAACAATTTTAAATTATTTTTTTTATTTTTGTGAGCAAAAAGCCCCCAAGAAATTAATTCCTTTTTTAAAATAAATTGATCCATAATTTCACCTCCCTAATGCTTTTCAACATAATAAAATTTAAGCTTCTATCCTCTCCCTAAAAATTCAATAATTTATTTCTTATGCCACTGAATCTAAATGGGCAGCTGTAAAGCCCCTTCTAACAAGAATCAAAAAGCAGTAACATTTTTGTTCTAGTAAGCCAGTGCCCTAATTATAGAGTAAATAGTTCATGTTTTAAGTCACAGTTTAGCTAGTCAGTTAAGAGAAGTTTTAATTATTACAATGTTAAACTATTGCCATGACAACACAGATCCTCTTTATCTTCTTGAATTTTCTTTTCTCTTTTGGAATGACAGTGGTTAAGTGTCTATTTAGTCTCACACAAATACCAACCAATTAAAGTACAGGCCATTTGACTGTTACTGACCCCATTCTTACCCTTCAAACCTAGGAAGGCAACGCATAAGTACTCTTCCAGATGGAGAAGGAAAAACTTTTCCCACCCTACCTGAAACATCTGAGAGTAACTACTAGATATAGTCAATATTATGCCATAGGAATAAAATGTATTAATATGGTAATTTTCAAATATTTTTTTCACCAACAGATCCTTTCTTTCAAACAAAATCAGAGACCAGAAGTTCAACACGTACGGACAGGGCTGCTTTGGTTAATGTGTGAGTAGAGTCCTGGAATCTCACTGGAAACCGTGCCAAGTTTTCCACACTACCCAGGAAAAAGCGCTTGAAGAGCATTACACTGAGATGAGATTAAAAAAATGCTGGACTGAAATCAGACTATAGTTTGGTCCCAGCCTCCCTATGGAGTAACAGCAACTTTGGGCAAGTCACTTCACTTTTTTGATGTGTACTTTCCTCATCCATAAAACCGTCATTCATAGTTGTGAAGGTCAAATGAGATCTTACAGATAACTGAAACCTACCATTTTTCATACTGCTAATAATTATCATTAGAGTTTAGGACACATGGAGCTGAAGGGCAAATGCCATAATGAACTCTCTGGTTCTGACAATCTCAAATCTAGGTTTCCTGTTTGGGGATACAGAGTTGGCACAAAGTCATTCTTGTATGAGCATGTCCTGGTCTATCACCCTGGACAACAGATTCCCTCTGACTCACTTCTCAGCTGCAGCAGTTCTTTCTTCCTTAAGTGGGAAACCTATATCCTCCTACTCTTACTTGCAGTGTCTTTACTAACTATTAAATTTATCTTAGGTACTGCTTGAGAAATAAGAGGTGTGTTTTATTTGTGTTTTATTTGTTTATTCAATATATTTACAAGGAGTTCATCTCTTTGTTTTAATATTAATAATATTTATATAGGAAACTATCACCATATATTAAAAGTTGTAACCCTGTTTTATAGCTAAGGAGGCTCAAATAATAAGACTAAATTAATTTTCTGGTAAACAAAGTTTTCATCTTTATTTGTTTCCTATTTTTCCCATTCAATTTGAAACAATGACAAGAGTGACTCATTCAGCACAAAAATATCTGAGCATATACCATGCAGGGCACTACATATATGAAGGCAGACTAAGTTGTATAATATACCACAAGGAAGTTTTGAAATTAATTCATTGTCTGATGTTAGCACAATCCTCTATATCTTTAATCTCTTCTTTAAATGTTCTTCTCACATTATTGCTTAGTAGAAGCCTGATTCTTCCCCAAGGACACTGTTTGCTCTGTGCCCCTCTCATGTGGTGGTTGATATTTTTGCGATAATCCTTGTTCCATTGGTCCTAGAAGTGAAGTTGTCCATTCCTCTTGTCCTTCATTACCACATTCACATCATTCTCCCTGAATACACCACTCCAGGCTCTAAAACTCAAGTCAACAGATCATATCCCCATTACCACTTATTGTTAGTCATTTACTAATACTCAAATCACTCCCTTTAAAGTGATTTTAATCACTTGGTTCACTAACTCTCTTTGACAATGTTTTTGCTTCGATTCCTAGCAGTGAACAAGTTTCTTCCAACTACTTGGCCTCTAGGTTCTTTTAATTTCTCTCCTCTAATGATGTTCTCTATTTACCTCAGTTACTACCATGTGCATAGCCAGATTTCGTCATTATTATTAGCTGCAAACTCTCCACAACCCCAATTTCACACATGGTTCTCTCTGAGCAACACCCCTTTCCAGCTCACACCCTCTTATACTCAAATTCAAATAACTTTTCCAACTCACAAGAACCTCCAATACATTGATTCTATCACTATTTCATAATCCCTAGTTCCTTGATGTCACTTTTTCCTCTTTATCCAGTTTCATTTCCATTGTTAATCAATAGAGCCACTCTCACACATACATTCCCAATTCTCTTGTTGCTCTCTACCTTCTTAGTTGCAGGGCAAAACCACAGTCCTGGTTGAATTCAACTTTCCATCATTTCTATACCTGTACCTGTGCAAGTGAATACAACTAGAGAAGAACATAAAAGAACTCGCAATGTTCCATTTTAAATTCATGACCACATTCCTCATTAAACCCTAACACTGAACAGCAAACCATTCTCCCTCTCAATCTGCTAGATTCACAAGACTATTTCACACCTTCTCACCTTTCTTCAAACCTCTAACACCTTCCTCATTCCCAATCTCAATTAATGACCTTACTTCCTATTTCACTAATGAGGTTGAAGCAAAGAGCAGAAATCTTCCACCTCATCAACCCTGTTATCAGCATCTGTATCCATATATTTTACCTTTCTGATATGATTAATTACCCATGCTATTATCTAAAGCCAATCCCTCCACTTGTATATTAAATCCCATTTTCTCTCATGTCACCTTCAAGACTGCTCCTCTTTGCTTCCTGCATTATTAATTCTGCCTCTTTGATGGATTATTACCATCAGCACAAGAGGATACTGTTATTTCTGCTATCTTATAGGAACCTTCCATTCACTCTACTTCCTCTCTCTGTACTGCTGTTTCTCTAGCACATTTGCAGCAAAACTCCTTGAAAGAGTTGAGGATAGTACATCCACTGTCCAATTTATCTTCTCCCA